GGACTGACTGTTCTGCTGACATGATGTGTCATCATTCTGTGTGACGTGTAGGATCGCCGAACCTGGGGGTAGTCAGTCAGAGTCGAGCTCGAGGTGTCGGTGAGTCGCGGTTATGCGGTACCATCCCCTTCTCCGCGGGTGGGCATGTCCGTTTCCCAAATATGTTCAATTTTAAATAGTTTCATCTAAATGGTCTGTATTTTCCATTGTCAGTGACTTATTAAGCCACCGTTATAATTTAAGTATTGCATTCGCTTCTGTATTCGATCATTAAGTTTCTACCCTTCCCGTGCGTGGTTGTTACAGACTTTGTGCATTTATTGAGAACATTTCACCTAACATTATAAATTGTTTTCTTCAAAGCACAATTGACATTTAAAGATCTTTTGATAGTCAGCCAAGTTCTCCTCCCTGTGAATATTTATAATATAATTAATTGTAACTATGAGACTTTGGTTGTTATACTCTGGCTAAACCTAAGATAGCAACCCTATGTTCACTTATCACAGAACTTAAGAACTGTAAATAAGTCATGGTAAATAAATTTGTACTCTAAAAGAATCACGAAGATTTCTCATTTATGTAAATAAATATTCTAATAGCTTAATCTTACAGTTGTAAAGAATAGTAAAGGAATAACCCTGAGTAGGGAATCCGTATAGTTCATAATTTATTAGTCCAAAATCAAAAGCACTACCAAAATTTATTTTTTATAATAAGCTAAATGAAACAAATCACCAATTATACAGTATAGTGAGGAAAAGGCAATAGAGTTATCACAATATAGAATATTAGTACTGTAAATACAATACATACGCATTGTTTATTTTATAAGTAAAGATACATGGCCTTTTGGTCTGTTCAAATTTATAAAACAATTAAAAAAAAAATACTGAAGACATAAGAACAACCCGTAATTTTTAACTTGTTGACATGATAAACAAATTAAAACATAGTTCCTCTTATCATATTTTAATACAAACAGGGAAATAAATGTTTCGATCTTAAAATAGGGTACATTATACATAGCCTTGTGAATAAACTATTTGTACTAGGTGGTGACTAAATATAAATATTTTATAAATTATATGTGTCATCAAATATAATTCTATTAAAGGAAGATTGCGTTTTCCTTATTTGTTAATTCTGTTGTAAAGTCTGACGAAGAAGTTTACAGGCCAGTAATAAAACTTTTATTGTGTTCATAAAACATCATATAATTAAAAGCGTAAACACAAATTGCTTCATAAGAAGAAAATGAAAGGTATGTTGGGAATTAAATGTAGGCTAGTGAAAGATGTTATAATAACATACAAGTGCGTGCATATTATTTTAATATCTGCACGAGCCTAATCTAATTTTACAAAGAATTAACAGAAGGAGCGTGTTACTTATTGACGTAACCCTTAATTTCTATCCTTACTAATACTAATATGATTGGATAACTGCTTGTGGAAGCTAAATGCTCCCAGCTGAATACAATATTAATTAATTTTGACAGTAACATACCCAGTGCAACTGTTAAGACTGTCTCCTAGGAGGCGATGTTAACTACAATAATTGAGAGTTTACAGTTGAAATATGTATTATAGGTCAGGTAAGTTTATTACCGCTCGTCAATGATAATTCCAACATTAATGACAACATTATTTTTAAAACTTCTCCACAGAAAATATTTATTAGGCTCCCAGTAGAAGCTAATAAATAAATTATTCTACCAACGTACTCCGTGCTAGGAAACTTTCATATGTTACGGCTTGCTGGGTTGTTACGTAGATAATGATCTTGGATTTTTATCGTTAATTTCGACATTTGATCTAAAATATGATTGATAAATGATCTCGAGAAAATTTGATAATTGAAATGTACTGATTTATATGTAAACATTTCTACAGGTTATTTTAGTTTTCAATTGATATAAAAAGAAAGCGTCATAGAATTGTGGAACTATGCTAATTAGTTGTGTACATGATTGTGAGTTTTCGCGATATTACAAAATTATATTAATCCTTTTTATTCAATCGAAGTGGCAAATGTTGTGTGAAAAATTCAATGTTAAAACTTCCATCCTCTTGGATTATAACATTTTAAAATGTAGTCTTGAAACAACAATGTTAGATATGTCTAACTATTGACAAGAACAAGAACGCAACAATAAGCTATAGCCAATTAAATAAATCGAGACATAATTTCAAAACATGTGATTGCTTGCAGTCGAAATGTACAGCTAAGCCTAAAACAGCTGTCTTTTACTCCCTAGGGACTAAAAAGTATTTTTACTCCCTGGGGAATAATAGAGCTACCTTAAACCCGCAGGCCGCTACGCAAGTATTAAAACCGTTGTAGAAATATCAAAAATAGTTTTCAATGTATATTTGCTGTTTTAAAAATTTCTATGGCAAATCTCTAGTGACGTACATACAAAATAAATGTAATAAAAATCTGATAACTAAGAAAATGTATTAGTATTGTTAAAAATGTTTAACATACGTACGTGTTTTAACATTCTTTAAGTATATTTTTAATGAATGCCTTTCAATGACCTCACGATCCCCCCCCCCCAAGCGAGGAGGGTAAGCGTTTAGCTGAGGGTTAAAGCAAGAACCGGACCCTCGGTTTGTACTAAATCTACAGTAAAGGTATACAGTGTACGTTTGATCAGACCGTTATAACTAGCTTAGGTTTGCGACTTATTCATCAAATATACCGCAGCCCAGTCGACCACATCACGAGTCTAATAGGATTTAGGCGTTTGATGGTAATGGAGAAGAATTTTACAATTATTTGTAAATGAGTGAATCGTATATTTCTGTGCTTTGATTAGGTTTTAAATCAATTGTATTATATAAATATATCGAGTTCTGTGTACTTTGTATAGGTTTATATTAGTGACCGATTCCTTTGCTATCGAAATCAACAATGCTTATTATAGTTTAGGTTAATACAATTTATGGACCTGTTTTATAAACGTATTAGGTAATACTTTGCTTAATAAACCAAATATTCTAACATTTATATACGAATAACTTCGTTAAGCAGTTGATTATACAATTAAAATAAGTCAATAGATAATCTTGAATTTCGACCACACAAGAGTAGTTTGTTTAAGCTTAAAACAATCTACTTACCACATTTGGTATTCCTAAAGCATGCTTCACTATCACTAGATTCACTTCCTTAGGATCTAAGCTGCCAAGTTAAGTAACTAAGTTAAGCTAGTTCGTGTGCTGAATCAGTATCGCGCCTTCTCTGCATTCCGAGTGATTGGTTGGCAAGAGAGTCACACACGAATATTTTTGATCGAAAGTCGTGTTTAGCCTTAAACGGACTGAATACATTATGTGCTTTAATAACATTATGGGAGTATTTTCGGAGTTGTAACCAATTTTTTTTTTCACTAGGTAGCTGGATTTGTTCAACTCCAGATAGTAATATGTGCATGATTCCGATGTAAAGCAAATAAGATGTTCAGATATTTACAGAAGAAGTCAGATTATGTTGTGACATGCAATTTTAGTATAAAGGAATTCTTAGCCAAATTATGATACATTCAAACTAAATCATCCTGTATTCAATTTTATTTTTATCTTAAATTTGTTTACTTAATTCAAAGTGGATTTGATTGTACAAAGTAGACTTGGTGATTTACTTATCGTTGATATTGTGTTATCAATTAATGTCAATCATTTACTTGATTGTTTATTGATTATTCCGATTTAAGTTGACTTTAATTATAAAATATTTGATAAAACCTGGTACGTACAGCTTTGTCATCCTTCTCCTCCATGAACGTACTACGCGTTTGGATGCTAATACATAATCTACGGGTAACCCAAATATTAAGGGTTAGTCCATCATTTAGATAGTTGCGTTATATTTTCTTTATAATACACACAACTTTAAAACAAGTTGTCTTAAAATGTTAAAGGCCTTCATTTACGAGTGCGCACATGAAAAATGCCGAATTCCGATGGCAAAAAGTTGATATCCGAACGTAATTGCCCTTCTTAACTATTAAATATATAAGAATGGTTATGTACCTTGTCATATAACTTACTTAGCTTACTAATACAGTATTAAATTTTGTTGATATTTTACTACTAACTAAAATTAAGCTCGATTTATTTAGTATATTTATAACTATGTCAATATAATGTAATGTGTAATGTCAATTTTCATTATTGATTTAGGTATTAAACACATGCTGTAGGTTTTGGCATGCCAACACTACATAAAATTATTTTGGTAAATGTCCAAATAATAATTTTGGCACTAGCACTTATTAAAGTAATGACCTACACAAAATGGTTTGCTGTATAACGTTTTGAGATAATGATGCTATAACCAACTTGCTTACTGCTATTTCTTTATGTGGTTAAACGTATGCGAATTCGTTTTGCTAAATGGGGTAGATTTACTATTGCATTGTCAGTCTCGACTGTTTCTTTTCTAAGTGATTTATAATACAAAAATAATACCATATTATATTTCACTGTTTGCAGATGAGATGGTGTAACATACAAATCCTGACTATTTGATACATTTAATACAAAGTATACTGATAAATTAAATAGGAAAAGAGGAAATCATGTTAACAATACACGTGCATTCTTATAATCTGTAAAATTGAAACGTTTTCTTTGGTTATTTTTATAAATAACGCTATTTTAATACTTAATCAAATGTTAAATTATTGAAAACCAAGATGTGTAATAAGACTGAATACGTGAAACTTAGAGCTCGGGTATAAAAAAATCACTTTACACTTTAATGTTGAAATATACTACTTATTGATTAAAAAATTATAAAATATGACATGTTTAGAAAAATAATTTTTCTACCTATAGTTTTGGCAATGGTTTGGATATTATAAGTCCAATTCTCATACAAAAAAAACAGAAATACGATTCGACGATGTATCGGCACGTCTGACACGGTTACTCTTTTGAGGCTATTTCTACAGAACAAGTTGAAATTGGCTCTTGACATTTCTTTGTCAGCTTCAACAGTTTGCACTCAAGCACCACATGTCAATATCAAGTCTACGTGTATCATCTCTGAGAGGTAAGGGTTCTATTGGGTTTGACCTCTTTTTACTATTATAAAAAAGCTGTATTCCCGTAAAATAATTGTACGAAGAGTTTCCTTTTTTAAACGTTACATGCATAGTAGCAAGGAATCTGAATTCCTGTAGAAGACCAAGCCATTCCAAAAAATTAACGGATTATGGGTAGCTTTCTGCTGATTACTTTTAAGTAATTAGATTGTTACATAATTTTTTTTTCATCAAGAGTTATCAATTGGCTGAAATATTTTTGTACATGTTACTATTTCGATTAGTATATCGGTTATATTTAATTTTAAACCTTAAGCACAGACATAAGAAAATCTGACTTAACATCACAGTAACTCTAGCTGGTAATCACAACGACCAATTTTTCATAAATATTTAAACAGATAATAACAAAGATTGGGTTTCACCGTATCAAGTACTGGGTTAGGTGGTAGTATTTGTAATGGCCGATAAAGAGGCAACGAGAAATTCTAAATACGGTTCAATGCGTGTGTGAGAGAAGCTCAGAAAAAACAAAGTTATGAAAACACGCGTAAGCTTAACACATTTTCACGTGTCACTTGCCATAACCAATATTATGATTGATGAAACTGATCTGGCGTCAGACATCGATATTGCAGAAGACACAAAACCGATCGATCGATTGGTTGTCGTTAGTTTAGGAGGGTGTTTTTAATATTCTTTTTAAATCAATTAAGTTTCAATTATAAACATAGCACTTCTAAGATAAGCGTTGATTGAAATTATTCTACAAAAAATTATTCTACATGCTAATTTTCTTACGAAAATTTTATAAATTTTTAAATATTTTAAATCTAAAACCAATAAACTACTATATTAATACTTGCTTGTTTATTTTTCAGCTGCAGCATTTTTACCAACAACAAATTACAGTGAATTAGAAATTGGAGAAGGAAACAAATAAAATACATATGCACATTTATTAAACAAATCTATCTCTAAAATCTGAAAAAGGTAAAGTAGATATTAAATTTGTTTTCTAACTTTCTCAAATGACAGGAAATTAAAAAAGTCATCCTAAAATGGTTACCAGTATTTACGTGTTTCATATTGGGAACTGAAATATATTTTTCCTTATGTAAACTGAAAAATGATATAATATAGAATACATTAAATATAATACACATGTGGTGCCCAAGTAAAGGTTGGGTACTCTCTAATATAGAAAACAGTGTTACAAACTTACCAGTCAAGCTTTGTTTAGCATGCTTTGAAATGCAAATGTAAGTATGTAAACATCGCGGTTTTCATTTGTTCAAAAACAATTTCAAACATCCAAAAAATACATTTTAGTTAAATTATTACGTTAACAGGGCTAAAATTGAGGTAAATAAGGACAAGACCAATCTTTTAATCGAATACATTATCCATCAAAGAGTAAAACTTCAGCTTCAGCTATTTTTGGCTCAGCTATTATGGCTTTCACTAGATATAAATTCAACTTTTAACAATAATTCTGGACAGAACTCCTTCAATATCTAACCTCATATATCCGACAACGTCTACATTTGGTACTAACAGGGAATTTGAAATTAATAATAATATCAAGTAGTATGTCATATTTACGCAATATTTCACCCTTTAAAGGTTGATCTCCTACTACAGAAAAACTGCGACTTTATACAATACAAATCTTAAGGTCACATTTTCTGGTCTTTTGGACGATCAATCATAATCCAGACTCCAGGTAGCACTGAACACCTGAAAATAGACTGTGCAATCCATTTATAACAAAACTTTACAACACTTTCTCTAACAATGAATCGTAAAATAGTTATAAAGTATCTATTTGATTACTTTACGGACTCATATTGGCGCATTGTGTAGAGTCAAAGACCACAAAAATCACCTTAACCGTTTGATCTTACTTTAACCCGGTCATTAATATTACATTTATACTTAATGGCTTACGTAATTTACAAAATGGTAGTTACTATATTTTCTGTCATTATTGAGCCAATAAATATTCTTTAATAATAATCTTATCTCGCGACTTTTGAAGACTCTTCAGTGAAAGAGGCTCTTTTATTTAGGATCAGAATACAGTTAAGACTAGAATGAATAGCAAGAAAATGTCTTGATGTTTTGTAAGCTATGTTGCTGATGAGCATGATATGCTAAATCGGTAAATATATTCTTTTGTTGCAAGGCACAAGTATGTTAACATGCGAACAAACTTTCAAGTCTTTAATATAAAAAGGGAAATATATATGTAGCAGAATATTATACATTTTAATAACCACATTGTATAGTTGAATATGAACCTGCACTAGACACGTATCAGATCCTCAAAGGTGAATATTCCCATGTAGCTACAGTTTAGCCTGCAGGTTTAATTTCTCAAATTCCTCCCTGAACACAGTTATGGGGTACCAGGTTTTGCTTTAGAAAATATCACGATTACTGTACAATAATTTTAAGTCACAATATAGTTTTATTGTATAGTTTTTTTATTTATATTTAGAGAAAATACGTTCTTTGAATGTGTAATCAAGGATCAGAGGGGAATTTAATTTATGAATGTGGTGTTCAGTAAAACGGTATTAGGTGATAACTTTTAAATAAAAGAATTAGTGCTCGATGCGTCTGTATTTTTACCTTTAACAAAAGCGCATACTTTAAAAGTCCTTATACAAAATCATATTTTTTATACTACTTTTTATAAGATTCAAATCATATTATCATGTTTTAATTGTTTTTTTTTTTTTTTTTTAGTTGCTTCGTGATAAAAAGATATACTCAAGTATATTGTATTGTCCAAACTAACATCTTTAGTCGAGATTTTACGTTTTAGTTTTATTTCAAATTACGGTAACTTTATTTTTTTGAGTAACTCTATCTTTAAAAATCGGAAATGACTCAAATTAATTTTATTCATTTACTGTTGTTTTTAAACAAGTAAAATGTATTATTTCTTGCCTTGTTTAGTGAATATTGTTTGTATGATAAATTTAATCTATACTTATTTAATTATAATAATATTTTGATTAAGAAGAGTATTCATAAGAGATTTATTGACTAGAATTATTATTTGACTTTAATAACTTGAGTAAAAAAGAGCTTAAGTATAGTAATATTTTTTACATTTATTACATTTTATTATTTACTGAATAGGTTATTCTGAACAATCTAAGTTTCGGGCGGATGTATACGTTCCAAAAAGGTTGTTTTCAAAGTGATGTCTTTGTGTGTGAGTGTTTGTACAGAGCTACTGACCATATCTGTGTTTTCATTTAGAAGAGATTCGGTACGTGGGTACCAATTCATGGTATTTCCAGCCGGTTGTTTTACTTGTTTTTAAATTTTAAAATTTAATAATGATTTTGTGATAAAAACCCTAGAAAAAAATAATGAATGTTCAAAGTTCACAGTTGCTCCCACCGATTACTTATGGATAAGGGTTGTCAACAAACTAATGAACAAAAGTATGTGTGTATATGTGTGTGAAGTATGTGTTTGTATGTGAGTATGTGTCATATCGCTGATACAGTTTATTTACCGAATTATGAGTGTCTTGTTTACATTGTAATTTTACGTATCAGATTTAGACAAGATAATCAATCAATGAGGCCTTCAACAACTTTCATTGCAGATAATTAGATTGCCCCATGACCACGTCCTATATTACAGCAAAGAAATAAGGGACAATATATTACGTATATATTATATTTAAAGTATCTGCTAGCCTCCGACAGAACGATAAGTCAACATTAATCAACCTTGCATTAGTCAACAAATGATTATGCCCTCGTTGATATTAATGAATAAAGTCGTCATAAGGCTTAAACCATAGCGCCCAATTTGTATATTTTTCCGCTGGTGTCCGCTACTTTAATATACCAACAATTTCTAGTTCACAACTCGGCTTGGAAGAAATAAAAAGCTCTTTAATAAAACTTGGCCAACATTCGATCCAACACCAATTGATCTTTCATATTCTCTTGGATTTAAAATACTCAACACTATGTTTTGTCCATGCAAGGTTACCTTATTTTAGCGAGAAATCAGGCCAACGCTGTGGTAGCTAAAGTAACACTCAACCTGCTGAAGTAAAGCAAGCATTTCATTTCTGATAAGATTTTGCGATTTCATTGACCAGAGTGATATCTCACGTCCCTATAAACAGTTTTTGATAAATACACAGTTTTGATAAGTGGTTTAACACCAAACTTGATTATTAATGTGCCTAACATAAATAAAACTGATTTATATGCTTAAGCGGTTTTGTTGTGTATTTTTTTTATTGAATTGCTATTACAACTTATTATAAATTGAAAATATACAATGTTTCTAGGAAAGCAGAGATATTTGAAGATACTAGTCAAACAGCCTTTAAGGGCGACAACGTGTTGTGACGTTGGTGATGTAAACATGTTTTTAAGAGATTGTCCAGAATACAGAGAGGCTGCGCTACTTGATGCGGACCACGACTGTGTTATTCTGTTACAATACAACTTACTGTTGCGACGGAAGAGTTTTCTGGAAATCTATGTTTTTCCCCAATAAGTGTATTCGTATTTGAGACAGAGGTACTTAATTTCTTAATATAGTTTAGTAATACATATTTTTTCATGATCATTACACAATATGTAAAACTACACCGTTAATCAATAAAAAATTAAAAATAGTCCAAAATACATGTAACTAAGCTTACAAGTTTGAAGTACTATTTACTATTTTCAAATTACACACGAAGATATAGTACATCGATAAAATATCTCTGCACAATAAAGCTCAATCTAAAATTAAACTGTTCATTTACCATACCAATTGAAACCTACATACCCAAATTTGAATGTTGAGAAGTTGAAATAAATACGAAATGCGTTTGTTCAAAACATATTGTAGGCTTTATAATAATTACTTTTTCGATTAAAAATCTCCGTTGACGAAATGTATTAATGTTAAGCAGTGGGTCAGAACCCCATACAAATTGAGAATATACATAATTGCCTTACGTAGAAGATTGCTATGCTTAAACTATAATATAACTATAATATAATTTAACTTGAAAACTAATAGATACTGTAAAAATGGGAAACAAAAAGGGGTGATAATAATTATAATTATACAATGCAAACAAATTGAAGTTTATTCTAGTGTATATACAAATCTTACTGATGGATATGTTAAAATAAATAACTGCATACACGCTACAATAGAGATGTATAACTTGATTATTTAAAATTAAATAAAGTATTTTAGAAAAATCAATCAAAATAAAATTGTTTCTGTCCCAAATCGTGAGTATAAAGAAAAACTACTGTGTTTTTAGTACGTGGAGGAATACTGGAAGTAGGTACATTTACAGTCTGTACTATAAGATCGACATTCACAGCACCACGATGGTGTAACGCTATGCAGTATATTAAATACACTATCTATCGTGTGAAACTGGTCATATGTATCCTTCGAGTACATGATTTAATAAACGATTCCAGGGTTTGTGTGAAGTTTATATTCGTTTATTTACGTAGGTTGTACGTTAAAAGCCAACCCATGAGTTTAAGAGTGCATCAGATTATTAATTTTATTAATGTATTGTTACAAGTAATTTTAATTTTAGCAAAATATATGAGTTTGCGTTTACCTTGCGTACGGTCGGCGAAACACAGTAAGCTTTAAATTCTTATAATATGTGAATAGTTTTTCTATATACACAAATATTCCATCGTTACCGTGCATGATTACTATGACAAACGATTTACGTACACATATTTAAAATTATGTAATATTAGTATATTAGTTGTTGAAATCATAAAAGAGATATGAATATTTCATATAGATATTTGTAAGTACTTTTGAAAGATCTATAAAATTAATTATAATAAACAACCGTTTTAAATTCCAACTATATAACTGAAATATTATTTTTGTAACAACTAAAATCAAACTAACTAATAGTTTCAGGATTCTCCCTCAAACAATAAAGCGAACGAATTTTTAATTTCTGTAGTACAGCACAATTACTAAAGTCACAGACTATGTTGTAAAAATCGTATTTTTGGATTATCGTCTAAAAGAGAACAAGGTTATGAAAACCTGCATGCATTATACACTTACTAAAGCCATGTTACAGGTACTAAATAGGTAGCTTTAGCTCGTCATTGAATCATTGGCTCTTAAAACAAGTGTGATTTTTTGACAAATCTGACAGAAATAAAATACTCTGTAAATTTTAAACATTACATTAGAAATTTAAATAATTTCAATAATAAAATGGTATGTGATTAGCTATAGTATTTATTCACTCATTTTTATATCGAGTATTGTATTTTTGTGTCTGGTGTTAACATCAATTTGTTTTTTTTCTTTCTAAATATTAAAGGAAATATTTATCAAGTCAAGTATTGTCAAGAAGTATTTAAACAAGGAAACTTGTTGTTAGTCCCTCCAGGGAAGCTAATTCTACTCGTTGATTATCCATTTCCGTCTTGCAGCCGAGTTCCGCAACTTCCGAACATGTTTAGGTAAGACATTAGAGACTCAAGACAACTTTGTAAGTTAAATGGTTAATGAATTCCATTGAGCATAGAATGGTGGTTTTATATAGTTTTTATTTATGACACTATAATAATGTTGTCAAACCTGTTTTACTATACTAAAAGTTGAATTATATCTACAGTATAACACTCCTATATAGCTCATGAGCCCAGGTTAAATATGAAGGACGTATATTTACCTAAAAATGTTATATATCAGGCATACAACTATTCTGATGGCCATCAATATTAATTTGCAAAAGACTAGCTTTTGAGAAATATAAATTAAGCAAAATTGTTCTAATAATGGGTCGTAATACTTTGGCATTAGAATAATAATAATAATTGATTTTTTAATTAAAATTAAAGCTAACACAACAACAAACAGTATTAAAATGCGACGCAATAAAAAAATGTAAACAAACTTCTCATTTTCACGAAAAACATTTGACTATTCGTCTAACGATAAGAACATTGAATAACAAACCTTAACTAAAATCGTACACGATGGACTCGATAGGGATTGTTTGTTTCAATCTACTAGGGATATAGGAATAAGAGTAGCCATGCAATGGTAACTATGGTCTAAGAATAACAATAACAAAAATATACAATATAATATAATTATTTATAGTATTAATAACTGGTAACTAAATCGTAGTCATTTACATTATTTCAAGATCTGAGCATATTCTTCTTATGTTTTCTTCTTACAAACATCTGCATGTTATTTCTGCAAGGAAACTATTTTTTCTATTGATTATTTTCGAACAAGTATTTCTTTCGAATACGTTTTATACAATATAAATTTTAAATCATCTTTATTTGTTATTTTCATTTAAGAGTCATTTAATTTTTTTATGTTATTTTTTACGGGTTTATACGGTGTCAAAGAATTCAGTCTGACGTTTTTTCAAGTCCGTTGTGATGTCAATACATTACTCGTCGATAAAATTCTTCAAAAACTATATTACATTAACAGTAAATACGTTTTGTAAAATCTTAATAAATACAAACAACACGTTTAGTTGCTATATCATTTGTAGGAAAAAGTTATTAGTGTACTGAACTTAATATTTATTATACTGTAGGCATCTACGATATGTAACTATACTACCATTGATAGTAAATGTTAAAACTTAATTTGAAGTACGGTAAGAAAAAAAACTTATAGTTAAAGTTAACTTATAGTTAAAAAAATATATCGAGAACTACTTCGCTTCATCTTTTCTCTAACTTTTATTTACAGGTCGCCGCTAACTTTGCCCATATCAGGCTTACGAGAGGAACGTGTTTTGTATTCGTCGTTATTTTGTTAATAGCCTACCTCAGACAGGAGATTTTCCAGTAGGACGTAAAATTTTTGTCTGTTTTTCCTTCAAATGAGATTCATACGCATTAAGATGTGATATTTTTTTATTTTTTTAACGCAAATTAAAAAAAAATTGCCCATATATTTGTTCAATATCCTTTACATAATCTGTTAAAAATTGACTTTAAAATTAATTTGTCATTGTAAATATTTACTTTTTGTACCAGTTACGTTTTGTACAAAGGCTGACGATAGAAACATAGTTTCCAAAAACGCTTGTGAATTAAATAATTTATTATATATTGGCCTTTTTGAAAATTAAAATTTTGGTATACATTTCATTATGCATTGCCAATATCTCCGATATAAGTTATTAGAGGTTATTTTGAAGTTTCCCAATCATGTGTGTAATTTATGATTCTGACACCAACCTTCGCTCACATAAGCGGTTATTACTTGAATCATAACAATTGAAGTTATTCTTTAAATTATATCTGTAATTGGTTGTTATATACTGATCATAATTCAGTATGTAAATGAAGTCTTTAAACTAATCTGTATTATTTAAACCGAAATAGATAGAAATATTCTGTTTGTGGTGTGATTTGTTAACAAAGGTTTCTTATTTTTTGACATCAAAAATATTGTAAACCCCCTAACAGGGTAGGAGGTAAGGGGTGACTTAATTTTTTCGAATAGCAACCCCTATTGAGTGGCCCCTCATTTTGAAGGATTTGCCAAAAGAAACACAATGTCGCAAACCCGTGGTGGATATCTCACCCTTAGGCAAAATGGCATGTATTCCAAAATTTAATTTACTTTATGTGAAAAAGCACTAATTTCACTAATATTGAAACAAATCTGTATTTTTAAAACCGAAATACATAGAAATATTCTGGTTGTGGAAATGATTGTTAACTTAGGTTTCGCATTTTTATTACATCAACAATATTTTTTAACCCCTTTAACAGGGTAGGGGTTGGGGGTGACTTTTTTTAAGAACAACTCCAATTGAGTGACCCCTTATTATGAAGGGTTTGCCAAAAGAAAAACAATGACGCAAACCCGAGGTAGATATTTCACCCCTAGCCTAAATGGTGGATATTCCAGGGGGGTTAACAAATATTTTTGATGTTGCAGAATCTTTGTTAATAATTATTGCCAAAAACAGAATATTTATATCTCTTTCGGTTTTAAAAATACAGATTTGTTTCAAGACTTAATTTACAACCTGTATATATAGTGAAAAACAAAATGGTGGACTACTTCCAAAAGTTGATCCAATTCAATTTGTTCTGGATGAAACGAAATTCAGTTATTTTTGACTCACAGAAAAACGTGACGGGGATTTATACAAAATTAGAAAATAAATTATCTGTGATATTTTTAGGAAAGTAATTTACGGTGCAAGAATACACAATATAAAGAAATGTTTCAATGCAAGGGAATTATATTTGAAGTAGCATCTTGCAAGTCTGTAGTTATAGTGGATTTAAAAATACTAAATGTGTATTTTCTGAATACGTTCAGTACTGAAGTTTACGATTGGACGATCAAAAGAATATTTTCGATTGGATGGACAAAGGTAGGACAAGTGGAAAGTGTTATTGTAGGTAATGAGAGTTTACTCAACACTATTTATTGTACAACTATTAACCTTTTTTGGATAAAACAAAAAAAAACAATAAATATAAGAAGCGAACAATTATGAT